GGTAGCGAGATGAGACGATCAGAGGTACGTGATGAACACGGGCAAGGTCCCGCGTTCCCGGTCATCCGAACCAACACCGAATCCATACAACAATCGTCGTAACTCTTCTCTCCCTAAGGTGGGTGCGTCGAGGGAAGACGACGAAGTCTAAGCTCTCTCCCCTTTGCGGGGGCGTCGACCGTCCGCGTGGATGCAAGCGGTTGACGTCACCGGTACGGGGGCGAGAAGCTCAAAAAGCGATGACTATCAGTTCAAAAAGGAAAGCAATCGAGAGGGAGAGAGAGAGAGAGAGAGAGTGAGTTACGCCGAGACCGCGCACGAGCGCAGGAACGACCACTGAGGGGAGGGGAACAACCGGATCAACACACTCGTACTCCTAAGGAGACAGTCCCCCAGTTCAGTTTCCCCATCCCCGCCTGGACGAGTACACACACACATACATGCATGCAATCAACAAACTTTGACAGGACATCTAATCATCCACGGACCTTCGACATCACTCGTGCGCACCACCATCTCCCATCACTCGGAGCTTCACACACACGACATGCATAGACAAAGCAGCAATGGAGATAAAAGCGAGTCCTTCTTGTACGCAAAAAAATCAATTAACTACCGCCCCCAGGCGCAGCCTTCAAAACTTCCCAGGACCACCGACCACCATAGCCACAAGGCCCTGTCGCGGCCGGCGTCCAGTCCCCCCCACTGCTCAGTCCCTCCGACTGCTTCGCCCCGAGACTACCGCGGGTCCACCCCACGTCGTCACTCCGCCCGTCCTTGGGCTCGTCGAGCCTGTTCGGCGCTGCGGACTCTCGCGCATAGCTCGCGCAGCATTGCAGCCGAGATCAAAGAGGAGGAGAGGAGAGGGTTGCGCGAATTTATAGCGCGGGAGGCGGCGGGTTGTCAGCGCGAGGTGCGGGCTGCGCAGGTTGTAGATGAGCAGGACAGGCGGGATGGCATGGTCTTACGTGATTGGAGTGTCCGTTCAAGTGGCGCGCGGTTTCCTGCTCTCCACATTGATCCGAGCATCCCTACTACGCGGCCAATCACTTCGCGGGGTAAGGATCGAGCTATGCGGAGGGGAAGACGAAGAGTCCGTCATGGGGAAAATGCGCACAGCAAGAAGGGAAGATGGCGCGGGAATGCAAAGCAAGAAACGGGGATGCGAGACGCGCAAAGAAATCGGAGCTTAGGCGAGCGCGCGCAAAAATTCAAAAAGTCCCAACCGCCCTCGTTTCTTGGTTTTCATACCGTGGCCGCTATTCGCCCGCACAGGAGTTATTAACCAAACAAAATGAAAAAACCGTTTCGAAAAGAAAACGAAAAACAAAAAGAAAGAAAAACCCCTATTTGTCCGCATCCGTGCCTCGGGGCTTCCGAGGGATTTTTCCTCAGGGATACGGGAAGCCGCGCGGTACGGGTCTGAGCTTATGACATTTGTGATACGCAGGGGGTTCCGAAAAATTAGCAGTCTCCCGACTGCTGAGGTCATCATGTCTTAGATGATCGGGCGGCCTCTTCATCGTCAGCTAGCCCGATCATCTTCCTAATCTACATAGATGCATCTTGCATCTTCCATCGCCTCCTCCCATAGTATACACCCGATCGGGCGGCCCCTTCATCGTCAGCTGGCCCGATCGGTAAAAAGTTTTTTTTTTTTTTTTTTTTTTAATATATACAGCGCGTCTCGACGTGCGAGCTTTGGTCATAGGAGAAGAAGATGATGGAGAGAAGGAGAAAGAGAGAAGCGGGTGAGGTAGACGAGGGTGATTAGAGGAAGTGATCGATGTCGGGATTGAGAAGGGGCGGAATAAGTGGAAGAAAAGCGGCCATAGTCGCGGGAGTCGTCGGCGCATCTTCCYCCTGGAAATGGTGCTGGACGAACGAGGGATAGAGGAAGGCCCCCGGCACATGAGACAGKACACGTGGCGCCAGATCCGCCACCGCTCGCACCACCCGCTTGCGCACCGATCGGGGCCCTGGACCCGTCATCACCACATAAGTCTCGGTGTAAGGCCGCCGCTCCCGCTTTTGCGCCGCGAAAACAAGGAAGTGGTACATTGCATTGGGACGCTGCCCGGTCTCGTAGATGAGCGTCCTAGCCAATCGCGCCGCAATACACCCTTGAAAAGGGGGTGTCAGATATGGCTCCCATGCCGGATCAGGGCGCGGTGCCCCCACGATGGCCTCAAGCCTGATGGTGGCGGGCTTCACCATGAAGTCCACCTCTGTCGGATAGACCGTCCGGCTCGGAGGAACTACTAATGTCAATGAGTCAATGACCGGGGCACCCCGGGGTGGCTGGCGGGAACGGAGAGGTCCCGCGAGGACAGGGGGTTTGGATATGGGATCCAGAAATCCCATTCGGCTTCTTCCTCCGGCTGCTGCTGCTGCTGATGGCCCGGCTCCATCAAGATTGAGATCGGGCACACGCGGAAAGGGCGGCGATGGCACGACTATCTCCTTAACGAGCGTCGCCGCACGCGTGGGCTGAATCACTTCCTCGCCGCCGCCGATCCTGCTGCCTTGCGCTCCTGGCGACGGGTGGCGTCTCTTCCTCTTCGGCGTCTTCTTAGGGGCCTTTGGTGGCTCTGGTCAAGGATACGACGAGGGAGGCCGCAACGGCCTTTCCTCCGGGAAGTCCTCCAACCTCTCCGCCCGCTGCGCAATGAAATCCGGGATGACGACCGCGTTGTACGTCCCCTGCGGGGCCGTCGCCGTCCGCAATCGTGGTTGGATCTCCTCCTCCTCGCTCGCGATCACTTGCTCAATGGAGAGGAGTTCAAGGTGTATGAGCTCCAACAATCCCGGATCGATCGTCTGGAGCTGGGCGAAGGGGTACAGCGCCACCATCCCTTCCTTCTCCGCTGGCTTGGGCCATGTGATGACGTAGTAGACGACGAAGTGCTCCCCGATGCAGTGGTTTCCGTGATCCACAAAGATCCGGAACATTCCCAGCGCCACCGACTAGTACAGTGCACGGTGCAACTCCCGCGCGTTTTCGTCGGCGAAGGGCAGCGGCTCCACGTCAGTTAGCTCCACCAAATACTCTGAGAACTCGCGCATGGGATATGGGCCCTCCGTGAGCTAGTAGGGGAGACTGGTGTAGGAGAAGAAGGGAGGCATTTAGTACGGGACAGGGGGAATAGCTTTGAAGTTGAGAGGAGCAGCGGGAGGGAGAAGCGCGGGGAGCTGCGGCACCAACGCAATCGGTCCGTTCTCTGCCCTCCGCAGCAGCACTTCGTGGGCTGTGAATCGGTGTCCCCCCCGTCCTTGCAATCTGGCCACTGATCTGGCCGCTTCCACCGCGTATTCGCGCACAAAGCTGCGCGCTGGCTCCCGATTCAGCTGTGGTAGGATCGTCAACTCTCCGATGAAGGTGGCGACGCTGTGCACGAAGTTGGGTGCCACCTGGAGCGCGCGGAACTCAATGAATACTCGGGTCATCTCCCGGCCAGGCAACTGCGTCACG